GGACACTCTCAGTCTCAGATGCTGACGATGTATCTAGAGCAGCAGAGAGAAGGGGATGGAGCCACAAAGCCACCAGGCCTTCTACCTCGGCTCCTCGTTCTCTCCTAGACCTCATTCAATTGGCCCTCTGGCCACCACTTTCCTACAGTTCTCAGGTTCCACATGCCCCCAAACTCACCTTGCCTAAGACCTAGCACCTGCCATCTAGCCCCAAGCACCCAACTTGGCTCCCACTCGCCTAGGCTCCTGGTGCATTTGCTTGCCCCAGACTTGACACAAGTGTCAAATCTTTCCACAACACACCCACCCTACCCTCTGTGGCAAGGTCCTGCCGATCCCGGAGGGGGAGAGCACTCAGGCGGGGGACATCTTCAGGCACCATGGCCCGGGCCTGACCCAGGGCTACAGCAGCATGACGGCAGACGTGTTTGATTCGGGGACCCTGCACAGGGGACTCAGGGCCCTGGGGGAAAAGAAACCAGAAATAAAAGCTGGGAGTTGCTGCTTGTACTCCTGCAACCAGCCTTCTTCAGAGGGCCCTCTTCCCAACCCATACCGATGGTCTCTCTCTTTTAGTTTCCACCGACTCATCTTCAGACTTGATGGAAACTCTATCTGAGACCTGCTTGACAGTCCCCGTGACCTCTTCCAACTGCCCTCCAGGGCTTGGCTGCTGCGGGAATAACAAACAGGGTCAGAAATTAGAAAGTGAGGAAAGATGGGGCCAGGGAAGGAACACAGGAAGCTGGGGGACGAGATGGACTGGCTGAGGGTTCCCTGCAATGCTAAACAGTGTCTACGGAGGCAGGAGGTTAAGGGATTACAGGGAATTAAGGCTGGATGACTAGGTGCAGGGGCCTGGCCAAAGTACCATGCTTACCGGCATCAAAGATGCCACCTTCTGCTGCTGCTGCTGGTCAATCTTGAACAGCTGCACCTTGGCTCTCTTGAGGAGACTGAACATTTTCTCCTCTACACCAGACAGTGGTAAGGAACCCAGGCCCGCAATCCGAGTTTTTTCCAGTGGTGATGGTGGCTGTGGCTGCAGTGGTGGTAGTGCCTGAGGCAGCAGCTGGGTTTGCAAGGCCTGTAGGGACTGCTGTAGCTGAGCCTGAGGCTGCTGCCCATTGCTTGGAGCTGGAGCCCCAGGTAGGGGCACCTCGGCCTTAACTGGGGTGGCGACCACAGGGGCAAATCGAGGCAGGCTGAGATGGTTGGTGCGGCCCACTGCCCGTGGCTCAGGCTCAGCTGGAGATTCATCAGCAGGAGGAGGCTCTGGCTCAGGGGCTTCAGGGGCTCCAAGAGGAGGAGTAGTAAGCACCGATTCATAGATCTTCAGGTGGGCTTCACTTGGGGTAAACTGAGGGGCCCGAAGGAGCAGGGGCCTCCGAGATGGAGTGACAGGGGCAGGGGGTGGGGGTGGGGCTGGCGGAGGAGCAGGGGGAGGAGGGGGCAGTTCCCGGGTCAGTGAGGTCCAGCGAAATGTGGGTTCCCTTAGGATGGACCGTCTCTTTTCAGGGAGTGGGACTGGGGTAGACAGGGGAGTTGGGGCACATGGTGGAGACGGAGGAGCAGGGGGAGGAGGGGGCAGTTCCCGGGTCAGTGAGGTCCAGCGAAATGTGGGTTCCCTTAGGATGGACCGTCTCTTTTCAGGGAGTGGGACTGGGGTAGACAGGGGAGTTGGGGCACATGGTGGAGAGGGGGCTGGTGATGGCTCCTGGGGGATGAGTGGGGAGACGGCAACGGGAGGCCGCAGAGTAGGTGAGACCTCCACCTTTAGAGGTTTGGGGGGGTCTTCATCCATAAATCGCCGGGGTGTCTTGATGACACGGGAAGAACGGGCACTCACCACGGGCATAATAAACTGCCGGATATTCTTCAGGAAGGTGGTGCTTTTGGGGGCCACAGTGGGGCTGTCTTCCAGAGGGCCTCCTGCGGTAGTGCTGGGGGTTGGAGTGGGAGGAGAGGTGCCCTCTGGCCCTGCCCGAGCAGCTTCCCGCTCTGCTCGTTGGCTGGGAGTCAGGGGAGGCCGGCCCCGCTTCCTGGAACATGTAGCTGGGACCACGGGAGGAGGGGATTCTTCCTGCTCCTCCGGAGCAGGAGGAGGTGGAGGGGATGGTGGGGGTGGAGGGGTCACTGAGGGTGGTGGAGGGCAAAGTGGGGATGGAGGAGATGTTGAGGGGGATGGGAGGGGTGGGGGAGGTGGAGGGGCTGGAGGAGTCAGAGATGGTGAGGGCAGCTTTGCTTCTTCCTTTTCCTCAGCTAGCATCATCTCTTTCTCAGCTACAGCTCTCTCTTCCTTCTCTCCCCCCTCCTCATCTTTCTCTTCTTCTTTCACCTCCTCTCCCTCCTCCTTCAACTTCTGTTCCTTGCTCCAGCAAGGGCCCTCTCCCTGTCCAGGTCCGACTCTTCCTTGGGGGGCATCCTGGCAGCTTTCCTCATGTTGATCTTGACCCTGACCTGATTCAAGTCCCAAGGACAATTGTTCCATCTTCACTTTTCTGGCCTTTGAAACAAACTTGATCACGAGGGGGAGCCCACCTCGGCCTCGACCCCTGCCTCCACGGCCTCCTCGCCCAGACTGTCCTCCACGCTTGGGGGTCCCAGGTCCTGGGCCAGGCCCCTCCTTGCACTTCCAGCTGCCAGTTCGGTGTTTTACTGGAACCACAGGAGGTGGGGGCTCAGGTTTGGGGATTGTCACAGCTGCTTCTGCCACCATTACTGCTTGTTGCTTCTTCCTGCAGGGGCCTGCTGGCCGTCCTGGGGGCCGCCCTCGAGACCGACGGGGGGTGGAGGGCTCACATGCCCGGCTCCGGGGGGCTGGGGGTGCCTGGGCCCGCCGGAGAAGTTCAGTCAGTGCCTGCACCATTCGTTCTGTACCCTCCTCACCCCGTTTCCGGGCAGGAGTCTTTGGGGGGGTAGGAGCCACATCTGCTAGGCGAGGAGGCAGAAGGGGGGTCATCTTATGCTTGCGGCCCCGACCTCGGGGGGCTCGACCTAAAAGGAGAATAGGTGTGGGGAGATGGGTCACGCCAACCCTGTGGACTGAGGAAAACGTTTCAGGAGGGCCAGGACTAAGTCTTACTTGTCTGTTTCCCCCACAGCCCGGCCTAACTTAGGCTGTGAACACAGAAAACACTCGGTCACTGATGGAGACTGCAACAGGGAAGAACTGACACAAAGAGCAAGAAAAACATTGCTGTAAAGCTATAGAGGTAGAGTTTCCCCATTACTCACCTCGCTGGGACCGGAGCGCAGAGCGCAGGGAACTGGGGGCCACATCTTCATCTGAATGAAAACCCTGAAACTCCTGATTTAGGGGACCAGGGGTGGAGGGGAGAAAGAGCAGTCAGTGCCAAAACCCTTGTTCCACCTGAGACTAAGGTATCGAGGACAATCCCCAGTTTCCTCCTTAATGTACCCTTGCCTATTTACAAAAGAACTAAAGAGGCTAGAAGGTGAGGAGAGGGAAAAACAGGGTCTCTCCCTAGGGATGGAAACACAGGGTATTTTGAACTCTCATCTCCTGTGCCAGACCACACTGGTGCTGCCATCCTTTCGCTGGCCCAAAAGGAAAGAGAACAGGGTCTTCTCAGGCCAGGGAGGTGCAACCCTCAGATTCCCTCATATCAAACTCAGAAAAAAGTAGGATCACCATTTACACTCTCATGAACCACAGTCTCTTCCCGAATGAAGATAGGAATAAGACCATCCGAGTGTGGTGTCTGTGTGTGCGAAATGCTTTATCACAAAGGTTTATCAAAAGGTTTATCACCTCACTCAGATAAACTGTCCTCAGTAATACAATCCACACCTTCCTGTCTTTTCTGAAGCTGGGGATAAATTCTGAGCTGAACTCTGACCTGCCCAGTCTCAGCCTTCATTCCATTTCTTTTCAACCTGTGCCCCTAAGAGGAAGCCCTCCACCATTCTACCCTCTCTCTACTTTAGGTCAGAAGAGGAAATGGGGCACTGGTGAAACCTGGGCTGTGTCAGAAGTTATGAGGCTGGGCGGGGCGGATTACAGGTAAGATCCAGAGAACCCTAACCTGGGTCCACTAAAGCCACGCTGCTGCTGCTGTCAACCACCACTGGTTGGGCATGCAGTCCCCATAGCCTCCTCGCCCAAACCTCTACTGCCCTAGCTTTGCCAGCTACCAAGAAGGATCAGCCCAGGACACTTCATCAGGACCTGCCTCGGGCCCAAGTTCCCAGGTGTAGCTTGGGTTTCTCTATCCACTTGCAGAGGCCCCTTCCACCGACAGTTCCGTACAGCCTACCTCTTCCCATGACTATTTCCAGGGCCCTTTCCCTCCGCAGGGGCCCTTAGGACGCCGCTTCCCCACGTCATTCCTCGGGGCCACCCAGACCCCTGGAAGCCCCCAGCCTCCGCCCCGCCCGGCGCCGGGGACGCCTCGGACTGCCTCACCTCATCATCGGATTCCCCGTCACTGCTCTCCTCCTCTGGCACGCAGCCACGGTTCGGGCCCCAGCCCCGGCCTCGGCCCCGACCCCG